CCCAATTGCAGAAAACTATCCTGTGTCTAACTGTATTCCATAGGCTGCGTAACAGCAGCCCTTATGACTTTAAATGCTTTACTGATGCCAACCAAAATAGTGTGTCTTTCTGTGTGGAAGTTATTGAAGTTTAGAAATGTAATTACAATTACATGTTATAACTACTTACCACAACCTCCTTTTTTTTTTTTTTTTCCTCAGAGTAGACAGAATAAAATATATTTTCTTCAATATTCAAGGTAAAACTTTGCCATGCAATTTATATGTGCTTCGACTGTGCCCATTTCCACTAAGCACGGTGTCAGTATACTCTTTTCAGGTTACAAGTTTCATATGTATCATATATAAAAGATGACAGAGGAAGGTGAGAACTTTTGGTGTTTCCAGAAATCAAACACTTAACAAATACTGACATCATTTGGGTGGATGAAGTGATGCTCAGAAGACATAGGTTATACACTGATGTCTGCCAAACCCTACTCCACAGCCCTGTTTCTCTGTTTGTGTGGGGCTGCCTGGCCTGCCACTGTGACGCTCCCTAATGTCCCAGCTGGGCTCAGACCATGACTGCAAGAAAGACACTTGCACTGCAGGGCCAGAGGCATGACAGCAGCAGCTGGGTTAATCAGCACTGCTCAGACAGACCTGAAATTGCACTGGGTGCCTCACAGCAGCAGTGGAGCATTGCTGTGCCATACAGGCAGCAACACACAGCTCTGGCACACAGCAGGTCAGGGTGTATCCCTACACACAGGGAGCAGCACTCCCCGTGCGCTGCAAGGCATCCTCATGCACACGCAGGGAATCAGCTTGGCAATACACACACCCATCAGATAGCAAACATTAAGTAGAAATATTACTTAGTTACAAGCCAAACAATTGCATGTAAATGTCCATGGGCCTCTGGAAAGTAAGATTAAGTGCCAGCAGAGACAGGATATCCACATTCAAGACACATGCAGATGCAGATCTCACCCTCCAGCCTTTACTTCTCCCTTGCAGCAACACACTCTCATCCTGGCACAAGCATCCTGCTGACAGGAATTTCCGGTTCAAGTAAGCACAAGCCTGCAGCTCAGCAAGGTGAACAGGCAGATTTGTTGTATAGCTGCACATACAGTGTTGGGTACTAACACAGCAGCTGAGAAATGTGCCCTGGTACTCAGTTACCACCTTCTGAATCTGCAATGAAAATGGTGAATCAAAATGGTTCCTCAAGAACAGATCCTGGCTGGGTTTTTCAGTCTGGGTGCCGACAAACAGCCATTTCCATCTCTGCATCTGGTGATTAGTTTTATTCAGCTGAGAGACATGTAGTTGGACATTGCTCATGGTTTCTGTGAAAAACATGGGCTCATTTTCTTGGTCTATCGAGTGGGACATATGGGAGCTGGATTCCATCTTTCATTAGATCTTGGAAATTGTGTCCTCCTGCAGCAATTAATTAGCATGATGTTCTTGGCTGCTAATGTTTGCTTTCAGATTTTAGTGGCAATAGACTTGGCAACATAAATTTTTGGAGGATGGTCTAATGGTTAGCCCAGGCCTGCACACAGCTTTCTTCAACCCATTAGCTTTTATAGAATTCCCTTACGTGTACAGAAAGGTCCTTTAATTTCTGTCCTTGTCTCGGCTCTTCCTCTGAAAAATAAGTATATAATAATTCTTTCTTGCATCCCAAGGCAGATAAATTGCAGATACTGAGCCCCCTTCTACTACAGGAGAGGTCAAGTAGTAGCAGGTAGTCCTCCACCTCCTTCTCAAGATGAAGAATCTGTTCTGCAAAGCATTTCTTTAATGCTTCCATGTTTGAAGTATTTGCACCTTTCTGTTTGTTCACTTTCAGTTTGTTCACTGTAGACATTTGGAGGCTGTAAATATCTTTATCTGTAAAAAGGACGACTATGGAAAAAGGCATACTTCTCTATTTCTGTAAGTAATTTGGCTGAGGTTTGTATGAGGTATGCGTCCCTCAGGTGATACCTCCCTTGTGTGCTCATGTCCAAACTGTATCCTCCCTAAACTGCTGTGACGAATAGCAAAACCTCACAATTTTAACCTCCAAATGAAATCCACCGATGTCATCCATAGCTATGTCAATAATATTTATAATGTTATACAATTATAATAATTCCTGGCTGAAAAAATACTTATAACCACAAAACATTTCATGTTTCATTTATCTAGGGGAGATGCAAACAAAACATAAAAGATATAGCCAGATGGTCCTACAGAGAATAACACATCTGCCATGGGGAGGAACACAAAGCTCATCTTTGGTACCCACTGAACACTAACACAGGGGCTGAATTTTCAAGGGGAGGGGAAAGGAGGAATATATTTCAATGCACAAAAATATGAGTGCCATTTTATAGCTGTGCTGGTTAATACTATTGCAAATAAGTAGTTTTGTGTGTAGCAGCTCACTTAAGTGGTCATTACTGTATGCAATTCAAACTCACAAAAGGCATATTACAAAGCTTTTTGAAACAGATGTGCTCCTCCCTCCATTTAAAACAAAATTAGTCTGTGGTGTTAATTTAGGCAACCTTTGCAGTCACTAATATACAATCACACACTATTTAAACATGTCTGAAAAGGAATTAGGACAAGAAAATGAAAGTACCACTAAAGAGTAGTTGCAGTGTTTGATGTTCCTTCCAGATAGCTTGTTCTCATTTAAATAAGAATGGGCTGAGAAAATGCAAAACATTACCGTAGGACTGTCTCCTCACTTGGTGTAGCGAGGATTTATAACAAACACTCTGGGACTGAGCCTCAATTTCACACCTGCCAGACAAATAGTTTCCAACCCTCTATTAATTAAAAACAATAGTAATACAAGAAGTGGAGCTAAATAATTGATGAAGAACTAATCCTGTACAACCAGTATTTTAATGCAACACTTTTTCACACTTGGTGCTCCTGCCCTTTCCAGCCCGAGGTACCAAGGGCAGGAGCACATCCTTAACACAGCACTGATTCAGCAGCCTCGATTTCTCCCATCAGTTCAAGTGCAGCAGTCTGCTCTGAGCTGGTCCTGTACTCAGCATTCAGACTCCAGCTCTGTCACTATCAGAATTGCCTTTTACAGATCACCACAGAAGAATTTGCCGATTACCAGCTGAAAGACTTACTGTACTACCAATAGGGAAGGTTTAAATACCATTACAATTCTGACTTGTACTTTTAAATGCCATAAAATCCCAAGTTAAGACCCTGCCTTGCTTCCCCCTAAGTACTGCCAAGGCGCACTCAGATCACAGGCTGCAGCAGCTACTGCATCACACAGCACTTTGGGCAGTTCTAGGTTTTTGCTCAAGCACCTTTCCCAGCAGCTTGGTCACCACAAGGGCTGCAGAGGAGTACACTGAAGAGAGGTTTAAGCACTGAATTATAATTCCTGTTAAGCCTAACTCTTCAGACTATTCCTTTCAATCACTGATAGAAAACAACCTGGTGAGTACATACGTTTATATAAGGCAACCACGCATCTTCAGATCCCAAGTGGCTTCTGGGATAGAATTTTAAGATCCACCATGTGGATGTAAGTTTATATTTGAAAACTGAAACCACAAAAGGCCGTATAAAAAAAAAATCCTTATAATTAAGAATCGTAGAGCGTCGATGTATATTACCAACAGACAAATGCAGACCCTTAATTTTATGGGAGAGCAGCCTCCCAGTTTGGGCACAACAATCTTCAAAAGCATTTGTTCTTTTCTTTGCATTTTTCAAACTGTAATTAATGAGATATGAGAGAAATACTGTAGACTATGTAGATGTAGACTATGGGACTATAGTACGCAATGCCATAGTGAGAAAAAGGGCCTGAATATGACAGCAGAATTGCTCGCATAGCCATCCACCAGCCAAAAGGGAACTGCTGTCACTACGGGTATCTATGCATTATGTAAACTTTTTTAGTGAGGGTGGCTCAGTAACTTCTATTGCAGGTGAGCATTACAGCCTTAATTGGTTTCTAACGGCACAACCTGTATCCTTCACAAAGATATGTCCATTTTGCAAGGTTATTGGCTTGCAGCATACCTCATAAGATGTTCTAACGAGACAGATGTTTCACACAGATTGATGTCTATTGACATTGCATTAGTTCATCAGGGTTACAAATCATGTTGCATCGCACTACATTTCACATTTGCTGTATCATGACAAGAGGTTTATAATATTCACTTTGGGGCACAGAAAGTGCCTGCTACCTATCTCTTGGATAAATAATTTAAGAAATTGTTGGGAAATCGTATCTAATTAGTAGGATCTGCACTCAACAAGTGCCCTTTGATTTAAATTGTGTTTGTATTTTGATAGGTATTGATTTTATGAGTAGGAGAAATGAATAATAGATTTTGTATTTCTCCACAGTTAGCAGCAGTACTGAGAGAAATAATGGAGGGAAGCTGCCTCTCTGGGGACTGGATGCCTTTTGCTAGAAATCTTTGGGGCAGTTAGAGGACCCCTAAATTGCACAGAGTGGCCTGATTCCTTTTTCTTTTTGCTGCATCATCTTGAACACATCACTCAGCTTCTCGAATTTCCAATTTGCAGGATGGAAATGGAATGGTTTCTCATCAGTCTGCAAATGGCTGTAAGATACAGGTAGAAAAGGGATACCTGCATCCACACAGGCATTATTCAAACCCAGCATGTCATCACCACAAGGATGTATGGTGTAGTCATGCAGCAGTGAGGTAGGGAGCCAGCAGGGCTCTGTTGATACTAGAAGCACACTCCATCACCAGAGTAATCTTGTATACCTTCACATCAATGGGGTGGCATGAACATCATGTCACATATTTAAATCTAACTAAGCTGCTTCTGCTCCTGCCACCAGCACCCAGGTCTGGTTATGTTAGCTACGTACTTCCCTAAGTGAATTCATTAAAGAAAGATTATTTTGTTTTCTGTAATTGGACACCAATCCTTCTGAGCAGGAGCAAAGAACAGGGTGCAGTGGTAGCACGCAGATACCCCTGCCATCCCACCAACAGATCCATGACCCTGCTCAAGCATGGTCAGAGAGAGAAGCAGAGAAAGGCAAAACATTACCAGAATTAAAATGAAATCAGAACATACACAGGTATATACAAACATAGGTTTCCAGCACCCACTCACTATTACAAATGGAGACCTCTGAGATAACCGTAATTAAAGAAAAGCTTTATTTTTTTTTCCCAGTACGCCAGCTCTGATTAGAAAGAAAAACTGTAGGCTCAACTGTGCTGCACAATAAACATGGCATCAGAGCAAGCATCAAAGTGGCCCCACAGCTGCTGGCAAACAGTACCCTCATAAGAGAGACAATGAAAATACAATCAGTAGAAATAGCATTTCCCCCATAACATAAACACCACAGACATTCCCTTAACACAAAGAGAAGAGGGATCAACAGTGACAGCTTTAAATTTGCCAGGTATCATGGGAGGACTGCAAAACACATCCTCCCTGAACCAAGCCGAAGAAGCAGAACGAGCCAAGTCACTCTGCTCACAACAAAGACATCCCTTTCATACATCTCAGGGAGTCAGCAGGCTTAATTTTTTGTTTGTATTTAACATCTGCTTCAGCAAGATGTGCTGAAATATCTATTAGTGCCTGTTTGTGTAGACACAGCCCACTGCCATCAAATCACTTTAAAGTCTTCAAAGAATAGAGATGATATTTAAAATGTTTAATTATTGTCTGAATCAACAGCTTCCAAAAAGGGCCCGAAACAGCCAAGTGGGAGCTGGGGCCCACAGCCCTGCAGCAGAGGGAATGCTGCTGCTGGAAGAGCATCGGAGCCCTCAGCCTCACAGGGGAAGGCTTAAATAATGCATGGCAGGATTCTTTGTGATGTCTTTCCTCTTTTTTTTTTTATAGTTAATATTTTACATTCTTTCAGAAGTATTACCTGTATGTTAAGGCCCATATTCATATCAGCGTGAACAACAAGCAACTGCTCTGCTTCCCCTATTTAATTCCAGGCAGATTTAGAGAAATAGAGGCCTGGCAACACACAGCTGAGGTGCACAAGAGCACAGAGAAGAATGGGTCTGCTGGAACAATTTTTTTTTCCCTTTTCTCATTAAAGTTTCATCTGAAGAATTTTTGTGGGAGCCTTAGCAGGTAAAACAGCACTCGTCACTTCTTGGTTCATAGGCAGCAGCAGCACAGAGGAGGCCAGCATCAGGCAGACAGTATTCTGATGCCCGCTGTGCCTCCCTACAGCAATCATTTACCCTCCTCAGGGTCTTTTCACAAGAGATGAGCAATATTAATTATCTTGAAGTATTTTAGGAGGGTGGATACTGGAGAAGCTCTCACTCATTTCACAAGATATTTCACTTTCCAAGTAAATTACAAATGGTCGCAATGATCTTCCCTTTAAGGGAACGCCGGATACCTCCTGGGTAACCCAGCTGCACAGTTCAGTCCCTAGCAAAGCCAACATGAGAACCATATATGCTTTTATGAATGCTGAAATGGTCCATGAATCTCAAATACTATTGCACCCTGCTTTAGAAGTCTTTTATGTGCTTTCCTTCAATAAATACATGTATTTGGCTCTGGATCTCAAGGCCCCTTTCAAACTGTGTATCTCTTAGAATCTTAATAGAAAATTACTGACATGAAGCTGAAAATAAATGCTTTTAACAAATAGGAAAATTCTATATTTCACTAAGGAAAGTGTGATTTAAAGGAAAACACAGGCTTTTGCGACATCTAAACCCTGCATATTTTCTGCAGAGCATGCCACAGCTATTGACATACTGTTGGTTTTATACATCCCAGGATGCATGAATTATTACTGTCGCTTGACATTTTGTATTCCTAGCTCCATAGCCTATAGCAACACTTACCGCTGGCTGGTGCAGACTATAGCAGACCTCTGGCAATGCCTCTTACTGATCAAGCACTGCTCAGTATTTTCCTGCTAGTAATGCAAAGACATCCTAATTCTCTAAGACAGAAAACCCACAAGATACTATGCTTGTGTTCTCCACTCCTTTTCAGAGATGTGAGACATGAAACACATTACAGATGCCTTCTCCCCCATTGGGAGGCAAACCGATAGTTGTCTTATAAGCTTCAGGTACTACAAAAAAAGACATACACCACACAATAATGCTAAAGAACAAAGCTGACTGAGTACGCCTAACGAATAGTGCCAGCATGCGGGCTGGTTATGAAAGGGACCTCGGGAGTGAAAGAAGCATCCTGATGAGATTCAATGGGCTTGTCCTGACAGGTTTATTAGCTTCCTTAAAAAGGACCTTGCAAAAGTGAATAATACAGAGACTGCAGCAGCAGAAAAACTACATCCGAGGTGTCTGCATTTATGGATTCACAGGAGGTGAACTAGCTCAGTGCTTACCTGGGTGAAATCCCCTGAGGACGTCTAGAACATGAGTTAGTGTAAATAATAAAACAAGTACTGCAAGTCACAGGGTAGCAAGGGCACCATGACTACAAAGAGCTACGGCAAGCTGCCCAGGGCTCAGCACACAGCCCTGCAGGCAGAGGGCTGCCCTCACTGCCCAGAGCTTCTGCTCTGCTCAGGGAGCATCCAAGCAGCTGCAGCTCTGTGCAGGGGCAGAGGGGAAAACTAGAAAAGCAGCAGGTGGAGAATCAAGGAGTGGCAGGTGTTAATGCAGGCACTTTAACTCCTTTAGACACAAGCTGCTTTATTTCACATCTCTGTGTGGTTTGTTGTTTTTTTTTTTATTATTATTATTATTATTATTTTTATTATTATTATTTTTAAATCCTCAAGTTCTAGCTGCAGAAAAACATCACAAAATAGAATTTGTTACCAGCATCTCTGTTTGTTACATATGCATTTTGCAGTTGCTTTCCGAAACTCTTTGCTCCTTTGCAGCAGCGCATGGGCTGGATTCACTTGATGCCAACACCTGGCTGGGGCAAACGAGCACAGCACCACAGGTGCCCAGAGGGGAGGAGCACAGGGAAACATTGGCCTGGCCAACCTGAGCCAACTGAGAGCTTGCCCAGGGCCAGGCCAGGTTCTGCCCTGGCCTCGCGGTGTCTTTCCTTGCGGCATACCCTGAGGAGCATCTGCCTGCTTGTCCTGGAGCTGCAGCATATCTGTGCCTCACACAGCACTCCCTGGTCACAGAGCCAGTTGCACATGGGCTACAATAATCTAGCACTCCACCAGCACTTGCTTTGCCAGTGGCCAGCTTCAGTGTAGCCGTGTAGCAGTGTAGCAGTGAGAACCCTGTGTGTATCCCATGTCCCTGCTGGTTGCCACCCTGATCCTTCCTTTTCTTGAAAAGCCAGCTCGCTCCTGGAATGTGGCATTGCCAAGGGCTCTTCCCCCAGCCCTGAGGGCAGCTGTGGGTCTGCCATGGAGCAAAATAGGCTCCTCTGCTTGGTCCATGCTTCCTTCCTTACTCTCCCCATTGTCCTTCCCCACTGCTTCCCACAGTATTGCTCCCGCCCAAGGAGGTCCCAGCATCTCTTTGTTCCCTGGCTCCATCCCTCGGGAGGCATCAGCGGGTGATGAACCATTTCATCTGAGCGCTGACTGCATCTGCTGCCTTTGCACAATGATAGACCGGCTGACGTGCTCCCAGCAAGCCACTCTCCACCGATTTACCCGGCAAGTTTTTATCATCACTTGAAATACAGCACCACAGCTCTGCATCTGCAGCCGTCCCCGGAGTCCCAGCAGCACGGCCATTGGGACGGCTCTGGTCGAGCTCGACTGAGCGCAGAAGGTGACTTCTGTCGCTGAGGCATTTGTCATCGGGGTAAGCGGGCAGCGCTGCACTAGCGAAGCCTCTTCTTTGACATCCAAAGAGGTAAGCATGGCTGCACATGAATTAAACACTTGCCAGCAAACAAAAATATTTTGCTTTTCCAAGACATCATTCCGGTGGTTTCGTTGCTGCCTTTTGAAGGCATGGCATTTACTCAACAAATCTGTTCAGCTCTTGAGCCCATCTAAGAGGAGCAGGTTAATGGCAAAGGCCGCCCAGTCAGTCCCAGGAGCACATCGTTCCCCAGTGGCTGCCTTTGTTCCAGGGGGAAGCAGTTCCCCACTCAGTCCCACACTGATGAAATGCACAAACCTACTGCTGAGGGCAGCTCTCCATTACCTCCCATCAGCCTCACAAGCCCATGGTGATCACATCTGGCACAGCACTACTCTGGAGCACACAGAGTAGCCCACAGTCACAAGAAGAGAAGAGAAAAAGGAAGCTCCTGCTGCAGGTCTGCATCTCCAGTGGCTGCCAGAGCCACACGATGAATGGGTCAGCCAGGGAGGCTGGGACAGGCACCAAGCTCCACATTTAATGCAACACCATACATTGCATAGCCCAACACAGCTTTTGGGTTGCATAGCACAAGGCAATGTGCGTATGTACAAACACATATAGTTACATAAATGTACTTTACGTGCATGCTCAGCCATGCATCAAATATACGTGTATGGCATACGTGACAGTAGTCCTAAATTTTCAGTAAAATATAGAACGCATTGTATGTATTTGTGAATGTGTATGTGCAAACAGATCACAACATCTGCAGATAGTTTACCAACAAAATCAGATTTTTAAAGCTCTCCAAATCCCTACTTTAGAATCTTACATGTTTGGAAAGAATCTAATTTTGTCTCAATAACATCAATGCAGATATCATTATCAAGATACAAGAGCTGAGGCCCACCATGTTTTTCTGTGAAACTTCATATCAAATTGGATAAAATGTATTCAATTTTTTCATGAAGTGCCTTTCAATAAAATACTTCGTATTACTTAATGATTTGTAGTTATGTTTATGAAGATTAAAAACACCTACTGTATTTCCATGATTGATAATCAGTTTTTAAGTAGCTGTTATTTTTACTATAAATATATGAAAGTAATCTAAGCTACTGAAATCCTATACATACAGCCAAACCATGTAGGTTACACCAAAAGTGACTCCTGCTATTTCCATGGAAAGCACAACTACTCCAAAAAGCACAGTAACACTATTTTATAGAGCAAATTCTCAACTACGAAATACTATTTCTCAGCACAGTTACCACCATTAGCTGTACATTTTTGCCAGTGATAAATAAGTGCCTGCATGCCATGCTCATAAAAACCTGCAACAGTAGAGGTAAACCACTGCCACTGTTGCCACTGCTAAAATGCAGAGCCCACTGCCACACTGTGCTCACATTCACTGTTTGGTCTTCATAACCATTTAGCAAGTGTTGATGAATGTCAATGGGTGCCCTATTTTCTGCACAGAGGAATTCAACGACACCTTTGCTCCACACACGCTTCTGTCAGACACCATTCTGTCAGACTGCCCCCCTGCTGCCATCTGTCACATGACAACAAAAATGTATGGAATATCAGTGGGAAGGTTCAACTTCTACTACCATAACACCAGCATCTGCTGTTGTGGGCTGACATCATAAAATTGGAGGCGTTACTTTCAGAGCAGCTCTTGTATTTCATGCTCTAAGAAAAAAATTACACATGGGGAGGTGTGAGATACTAGAGTCCTAGGTATTTTGGACATACTAAAACCTTTGGAAGATGGAGGCCATAGGCAACCCTCCAGCAGACCATGCAGTAAGGAGGAACCTGAATAACAATTGTTGCCTATTCACCTGGAGACATGAACCCACCATGCCTGGGGCAGGTGGTTCTATAAACAAGTAAAGAAATCTAGGAAGAATGATCTCCTAAGTGCATTGTGAACATTTGTGTCTTCTATTTGCAAATGTGATGCTTCAGCCAACAGATAAAAACAGAGGAATCATTCCTCTTCCACCTGCAGCTGATGGGGCTTTTCCTCCTCTTCATTTCCACCTCTTTCTGCCCAACTCCTTCACCCCTCACCCAGGCTCCCTAAGCTTCCTACCATGCCAGACTTTAAAGCAATCTGTGTTAACCTATTGTGGCTAAAGATGCTCTTTGTCTTCCTGCAGCTTGGTAGGAAGAAAGTGCAGTGGTGCCACTCTAACTGATGAAGGAATGACTCAAGCTCATTCAGAGGCTTTGTCCTGCAGCCCTGTACAGAGCAGCAGCCCTACACCATACAGACCACTGTGGTGTCTGGCAGCATTGTCAGCAGCCCTACCTTCCCTGATCTGGGCACCTTCACAGACATTAACTACATTAGGTTGTTACTGCTACACCAGGCTGTGTCCTGGTCTCACTACGTGTTAGAATGGCAAGAGCTGGTTGGGCTCAGCACGGGCCCTTCTGATGCCTGTAGATCTCCTGTCACCCACACAGTAATGCTCAGGTCCAGACAGTGTGCACCAGCACACGCAGTAGCTCATAAGCACAGCTGTATTGTTAACATTGCAGAAGCCATCACTGTATCATCCGTCTTTACGGCTTTCCTGGAATATTCTTTACATTCTGTGGTCTGTGCAACCAAAGGCTGCACCTGGAACATTAACTCTCTCTTAGCAGACTTGACGCGTTATTCCTGCCCAGTGAGAAATGCACGGCCTCCCTGTTAAATATAACATATTGATTTTTAAATCGCTTTGATGAGTTGGAAAGTGATGCGGAAATGGGATCAGAGCATTTATCAGAGCTCTCCTCTGTGAGAGCAGCTGATGTTTCAGATGATCCAAGGACAGCATCTCCGAAAGACAAGCCCAAGGCACACAGAAGATGTGCTATTAACTGTCATCCAGCCCAGATCCAGAGCTCACTCCCAACAGGCCGAAATGCTGAGTGAAACATTTTCACATCATCTCATCTTAAATCTTTGTATGGACACTTATTCATGGCTGAGGTTTGCTTTCATTTACAGCGGTAGGGTGGAACTCTTTGGACTGCTCTTTCACAAGGTTACTATCAGTTTACTCCTTACTGAAATTGATTTAGTCTTTGACTTTTTTTAAAGCAAGAGCAAGTAATTGCATGGGAACTTGTTTTCATCATTCCCATCTGTAATTATAAGAGGGCACAATAAGAACTGATATATTCTACAAACATCTCAAAAAAAAAAAAAAAAAAAAAACACCAAAACCTTTTGTCTTTGATAAAAATGCACTGATTTCAGTAACCTGGTTATCACCAAATCTTTGGATGCACTGAGCGTATATTTAATTTTAAACCCTCAGCTCCTCTAAATTACAGTAACTTTTTTCTTTCTGACAGTAACAAAACACATCAGATAGCTCCTCTTTTTTAAATGGAGGGAAAAAAAAAAAAAAAAGCACCAACAAAAAGACCTACAGCTCAGCGTGTGGCCAGACAGGACATTACTTCATCTTTTGTGATGGTTTTGTGATAGATCTGCAGAGATTCAACCAGGACCTGGTGTCTGCTCCTCACACACCCTGAGCTAAAAGGAGAAAATCTCCTGCAATAGCACCAAGGGCTCCGAATCACACTGTGCTCCCACCTGAGGAGTGGGAAAACTGAGAACTATTGAGCTCTGTCCTGTTTATCCATTATTTCATTTTTCTTTTTTCCCCCTCTCTCATTTTCATTTCCTTATCTCTATTTCTTTCTTTTCTGCTTTCTCCTATCTCTTCCATTCCTCTGCTATTTCTAATCACTTTCTTCCCTACCGCTTTCTCCTGCTCACCCATCCTATTCTTCTCTTCTGCTCCTTCCTCTAGAGGCAAGGTGGGCAGTGCTGGGAATTTGCACCACTTCCTCACCTAGCCCAGGACAGGCCACAGTAACAGTGATATGGCAAGTAGTGCTTGAAAAATTTCACAGACCTGCTCCTCCCTTCTCCCCCACAGAAAAAGGCAATTTTTAATTTACTTCAGATCAAAATTCAGAGGTACAACCCCTGTGCATTTCAGCCAGTTTGAGAAGACTATGGGACATAAGAAATGTTTCTTGCACAATTCTGCAAAATTAATCCCAAGAATTATTTGGTTAGCTCTATCACACAGACCGTACTCCGTCCCTTCTCTTTACATATTTATTCAAACACTGAATATATAGGTATATATACAGAATATTTACTGGAGAACGTCTTCCTAAGAATCTAAATGCCATCAGTTCAATTTTCTGCCTTAAGTCACACCTGGGACAAGGCAATAAGAGCCAACAGGAGCTGCCACAGGAGCCCAAGCTGCACTCTAACCACCCCCCACCACCACGCCTTTGCCCAGGCAGTACTGCACATCTCAGAGTTAACGCCAGCAGTGCATTTGCAGGTACAATGGCGCCCAGCTAACAGCATTCAGACGCATAGAATGATGAAGGTGCTGGCAGGGTTTTATGTGCTTCCTTTAAGCACAGGAGCTGCTGCTCTTTGTCCCTCACATCCTTTGTGTCAGAAGCAGCGCGACGCTAATAAATCTAAAACATTTTGAGATTCATAGCAAGGGCTGCAGCCTCCGGATGGAATTCATAAACATGTGCTGTAATTGCTTCTGCACAAGGAAGCGCAGGGAGAAGGCATCTCTTTTCCCTCTTCATGAGCACCCGAGCTGGAAGCAGCTCCATTTCCCTGCCTGAGATGTCCCTGAGAGCCACAGCTCCAGTTACACCCAATGGGTCAGGCTATCACCAGCCCACAGGGGCAGCTCCACTGCATCATGCTGATCCACTCAGAGAGCAAAAGAGCTCATTGGGATGCTGCTTCTGGGAGTATTCATGACTATTTATATAAGGCAGCAGCACGGCTTTCAAATCTGGCAATGCTTAGACTTTGCAGTACTCAGATCTGCTACACAATTTGGATTTGGGGTTAGATTTCTTTTTAGAGACTTACATAACCTCAGACAGTGCTTTGCTCAGGCTGTCAGTCATACAGTTCCCAGAATCATTACTTAAACATTAGGGAATTTCACACCCAATGTACAGCAATCTGTTTTACTCTGAAAACTAGACCATGTTGTAGTAAACAGGTTTTTTTCCTGATCTTGTGCCATGTCATTCGGCAGGAATACTCAGGTGTTGGAGGCTTGCATCCCGCCTGCGGGCACAGAATGGTGCTTGGGTTACACTGGGGGACTGGGACAGAGGGAAACATTAATTTCTTGGCTCATCAGACTATCTCCCTCCACCTTTCTCCACCCACTTGCCAATCTGGTACCTCCAGCTTCTCAGTGAGGGAGTATGAGAAGGGAACTGTAGGGATTTACTTCGTATGACAAACAACTTTGGTTTAGTGAATATAGGCTCATACCTTTCTATGGATCTGCCCTCTAGGAATAATAATCAGATTTCCAGAGCTTTGGAGTAGATTATCCAGCACTATTAGGGAATCCATCAATAGAAACATTGGCAGGTCTGTGAGAGAGGGGATCAACCTGCAAATTCTCTAAGAGCCTGCTTTTTCATGTTTCCCAGTGACTTCACACACTCAGACATTAAAAGCAATATTAAATTTCTGGAAGAACACTTTAAGTTATGAATATAAACATTTTCCACTGAAAATTATTTGTTGGTTTTTTTCACCTCTTTGCTTTTTACAATTAAAAGAAAATATAGGGAAATACTGGGATTGTGAAATCACAGTTTGAACCCCAACCAGCATGGCTAGAGGATGCCCCTGGCTGCTGCACTGGCCCATTGGACACATGCTGTCAGGGAGCTCGGCCTTCACAGCCCCACACAGCTGAGCCACCATGCTGTGTGTATGGCGCAGCCTCACGCATGGGCGCACACTTTCTGCAAAACACAGTGGTTATTCTTAACACAAACTTGTTGGAATTGCATAACACCAACAGAGTGCCTCAGCTTGAATAAAAAGTCACATTTTATATCCTTTATCAATCACAGCGCTCAAGTTTGGAGCATCCAGATTGCGTACTCACTGGTTCTTAGTCAGCTCCTGCATTTGCATTTTGACAGTGTTTTTCAGCCCAGGAGCTGGAGCGATGAGCAAGCTATGATCTGGCACATTAAAAACAGAAACCGCTGCTCATGTGTCCTGTGCAGCAGCAGCCCACCTCCACGAGGACAGCCAGGCAGAGCTCCCAACAACGCGTGTGGGATGTTTGCCCACAGAGCGAGGCTCTGCCTTGTTACATAGGGACAGGTTGCCACACTGACAGCCTTCTGGCTTGTTATTGTCCAAAGAGGGAAACAGCTTTCTTACCACTTTACCCCAAAGCTGTCCTTAGGAAATAATAGTAGGTAAAATAATAATAAAAAAAAAAAAAAAAAAAAAAAAAAAAATCAGTACATGATTTGTTTTTCTCTGTAGAGACATGCAGAAATATCAAAGGATGTGTATATAAAGGAGAGTCAGGTCATGCTCACCGTATCCCAGATTAGCCAGGCATAGTCATCCATACTTAGGTCTATTTTGCAGACTGTGGAGCCATACCAGCCAGCACTCCCCACACACCACAGACCAGAGCGTGGCAGCCCTACACCTGTGCTGGCTGCAGGAATACTGGCACTGCAGTGCCTGCTCCTAGCTCTGCTGCTTCCCACCCACAGCACCAGGGAATGGGCCCTGCAGCACAACAGCTGCCTGTGCACAAAATGACTCAGAATTCAGACCAGGCCTGAGAGGGCTGTAGGATCATTGCTTCCAGCCAGGGCCACATCTCGTCACTTCCACACAGCTCAGGGATACTGCATAACAACTACCTCTATCTGAGGCTCATAGAACAATCTGGGCTGGAAGAAACTTTTCCAGTCTTCCCAGACTACACCATTTCCAGCAATCACAGCATCATTCAGCAGTCCTAGATCCACACAGCAGGTCTACAAGATACAAAATAGCTCTGTAAACCCAATGATGCAGCTGAAGGAGGGCAGGAGCATGAGTCCCCATCTGTTCCCTAGCAGTCAGCCTCAACAAGTGAATGACCCTCAGTGCTCCACTGCAGCTAACAGCAACCCTCAGCATTTGGTAGCTTTTTGTTCTCTATTACCTCTTCCCGAGGAATCTGAGCTGTTACATCTATTTTTCCCCACCACTTTCTGAAGCAAAGCGTCCACAAAAGGGTTCACAGTGCATCAGCTGTCCATACCAAAGAAACAACTTTGTGTCCTGGTGACAGTTGGGTGTCACGGGTGCACAGACACTGGCAAGGACCTTGTCCCATTGAGAAGGGCAGCTCTGAGACCTGAGAAGACACTGAGGCGCACAGGAGGGCTCAAAAACACATAGCCCCTCCATAGGAATCTGCAGCTTAAGGCCAAGCTGAACCTAGGGCGGCTCCTCCACAGTGGGGACATGAGGAAAGGAAGCTGCTGCACACTGAGAAGCCTAATTGCATTTGCTCTGCAGGCTTTGTAACATCAGTCAAACAAGTATGCCACTGCTTTTACTGCTCTGCAGTTGCCATTTACTATTTTACTGGGAAATTGTCCAGAAAAAGGGATGCTACCTAGAAGAAAGCATTATACCAGCAACAGTAATGTTTCTGAACAGCCCTACAGGTACAGCGTCAATTCCCACACCACAGCAGAGCTGCAGAAAAACCAGAAGAGCCCCAGCCACTCAACTTGCACGTGAGACCTGGGGCAACAGCAGAGAAGGAGGTACCTCAGGACCCCACAAGCACACCTGAGCCAATGTGAACCAGAGCCATGACAGCCCACATAAAGAACATGATTCAGTGATAAAGGGAATAAGCCAAGCCAGAGCTCCACAACCCAGAACCACCAGGGTTGCTGAGGACTTGAAAGCAGATGCTGCCCACCCCTCAGCCTCAGCACTGTGCAGGGCTGGCACTGTCCCAGAAGTGAAAACGCCACAGAGCAGGCATGAATTTGCCAAAGGTATCTCTTCTCTCACAATGGCTCCTGCCCTCTAGAGAGCTCACCTACTATAGGCAGCACCTTAATTCTTAATTATCCTTCTGCTAGAGACTCAAAGTGAGCATTAGAGTTATTTAAATTTTATAACACTTCAACAAGGTAAGGGTGAAAAAAGAGAAGAGTTCTGAGTCATCCCATTTTTATCACCATTGTATTTTCTCTGCCAATCAAAAAAAAAAATTAATTAATTAATTAGGGCATACTTCCCTTCTCTGCTCCCCACAAGGAAACACACATTTACCTGGTCTACTTCCCACCAACACCTAAGCAGATCGTGATCAACCAGTCAACATGTTCCCCCCTACACAAATAACACCAGCCCCAGAGCAGCCTCTCAGATCTACTTATGGGCTCGGCAGGAGGGAGCAGGGGTCGTGTTCAGCACAGGTGAGAGGGCACTTCCTTAATGCAGTGCAAATCAGCTTAGCCAAGAAAACCTGTGCCTGTTACACCAGCACCTGGCTCTACTTTGCCAGAAAGATGAGCATTCGGTTTTTTTTTTTCTGACACATTTTTGTTTTCATCACCTCATCCCTTGTACTCAAAGCACCTCTGCAGAAATGTTCGAGTTCTTGTGTTGCCGTACCCAACCATGGCACTGGGCAGAAATAACACAGAACTCAGCAAGCAAGAGAAGGAGACAAGGAGGCCATCACAGCTGCTGCCCAATGCAGAACAAATTGCTCTGCCCTGGGCCAGATGTGAGTTGCTGTGGATTACAGAGCTGTGTTCGTTGCACCACAGGGGTTTGCATCAGCTGGATCCCTACACCCTCCATGTTTTGCTGGCTCTAGCTGAATAGCTCCTGAACACAGGCTGGTTGAATTAACATTATTTTTTTAATTTTGAACAAAATTAAGCCCATGTATTATTGTCCCTTTCTCCCTCTGTCTCTCAGACGGAATTTCTTAAACTCATGTGAGTTTATTATTTTCATAGCACATGTTGTCCGGACTAAGCTGTGTTTGAATCATCAAATGATGAGAGGGAAGCGAAGATTTAATTTCATGGTGGAATTAGGTCTGACATTTCCTTTTAACTTACACTACATCAAGGGTTAATAAGGTTACTCTAACCTTAATCTTTGATAGCTCAACAATAGAATATTCTGGGATTAGTGCAAAAGCTGGATTTTAACTTTTAATCTCATTATTGTTGATAACCTTATCAACAATGCACCCCACCATGGAGATGGAACAGGGAAACCTTAGACTCGACAGTCTCTTTCCATGGAGAAACATTTGGAGTTTCAGAAGAGCCAGGGACAGTTGCTTGGTTGATGCCTGTAGTGAGGTTCACAGTTTGCAGTAAGGCTGAAACACAGCTTTTAAACTGCTTGTCAGAAATCTTTGCCAAGAAAAACACTGGTCCAGTGGCATATGTTGGTGGAGCAATGCAAGGTTGCTCTAATTCCCTTACTTTGTTTTTCCCTCCTCCCATGCGGCAGCTACTCCAAGAATCAGACCGCCAGTCTGGAAAGTTGAGATCCAGAAACTTACTGCTAATTACCGTGTTTACAATTCCCAACCTGTTTGTTGGTGCCAACAATCAAACTGCATTCTCTTGTGTGCACCAAAAGACACTTGCTGGCAGGAGCTTCCTAAGGTTCCAGGCTGGCTACATTAATTACTGTTAACTTAATTTTTGGGTACTGAGAAGTAGCTTTAATTAGCAATTTTATGGATTAAAATGAATTTCAAGAAACTGTGGTTTGACTTATAGACTGCTTACCAATCCTATAAGTACTTTATATAGAAACACTAGTGGTAGCAAATTTATATGTGGTCTGACAAATAAAATACGCAGAGGTTTAATGAAAATCACAGCAGGAAATGAAAGGTCATACCTTCCTTTTGAAATCAAATAAGCAGCTCTAGAAAGGCGGAGACATTTTTTATCACTTTTCAGCAAACATTTGACCAGACAAAATAAACCTAATCCTCACAGTGTATCGCTGAATCAGAGTATTCAAACCTTAGGTAATTTATCTCTGTTAATGAATGCCTTTGGAAAAAAAAAGTCACATATTCTATGAACTCAGTGAAAGAGAGCCTGAGCTCAAACAAGTGCAGGGCAGAGCCCCAGCAGGGACGATGCCATCTATGCCCTGCAGGTCCTAGGCTGGGACTCCTGAAGCCATTTCTCTACTGAAGTACCACCAACTCAATTAGGATTCATTCTAACAAAGCGCAGATCTGCCAGAATCAGCTGAGAGCCACGCACCCCACAAGGGCCTCAGGGCAGCATGGGTGGAAGGGTGATACCTCAGAGCCCACCACCACTTTGTCTCTGACCCAAACCTTCCACAGCAGGCCGTGGTCAGGCTCTTTTTCTGTCTTATAGAGTATTCTTCACCCTCTCACCCTAAGCCTCTCCCAAGCAACTTGCTGTGCCTCTGGCATTTCTCAGGCTGTGGCCACAGCCAGAGCCCTGCGTCATTGTCCTGAGTGTGGGACAGCACTCAGCCACTGGGAAACAAAAACTCCAGGACAAAATTTGGTGGTGTGAAAATCTGTGTGGGACTGGGAAAGCACAGACAAAGAAGGCAGTAAGCCAAAAAGTAAAGTACTAAAAACCAACACCAGTTTTGACTTACAAAAGGAACAAATGAAACAAAACATATCAGTGCTTCCAGAGAGACAGCCTGGATTTACCCTGGTCCTGCAGGAGGGATTTGGAAACCAGCACCTGAGAGCAGCCAGCTTGTACAGGGTGAAGTGAATACACTGAGCAAACATATGCCTCTTAGAATGGTCCCAGAGGGGCTGATGGACTCCTGCAGCATAGGGATGCTTTGGCCTGCAAGCTGTGTGTGTGGGGTCCATGGGGTTGGGGTTGCCCCTTCCACACACCACTGCCATGCCCTCAGGCAGCCCCTGGCCCAAGTGCCTGCACCCTGTGCAACCTGCAGGCCTCCGGAGGGAGTCAGTCAGCCTCCACCCCATTTATAATGCAGAAAGCAGAGAAGCTTCATGCTTCTCATTTACATAAAGCAGACATAAAACTGAAAGCAAAATAGCTTCAGAGCATATGGGCAAAGCACACAAGAGCCAGTGAGGAGAGGAGTGAGAAAGGACACAGCAAAATCTCTTTTTAGGTTGAGATCCATTGGGGGCTTTTGCGTGTCTTTACCACTGCTAAGCTTGGGGACAGTGGCCCCCTGCCCCAAGAGTCTGTGTTAGTATCTCAGCTCAGCCCTGTACCTCTGCCCTGTGCCATGGTAGCCTGATGTGGGATGGGTCTTAGTCAATGATCCACTTTTCTGGGTGAGAAAAGCATGACCGTCGAAAACCTTCCACAACAACACAGCCAAAAGACAACAGCAGGTTTTAAGCTGGCTGCACCTTATCACTTTTTCTCTTGAACTCTCCCTTTCCTCCTACAACATGGCAGGCCTTCCCCTCTGTGGGAGAGGCTGGGCCAGCAGTCAGCAGAGGGGCATTGCTGGACCCTGTCCATGCTCCCCATGCCCCTTCTCACAGCACAGCAAGCCTCAGCCATGTCTCCTGTCCCACATACCCGAGCCATCAACCTGGCTGCCAACAAAAGCCCCGTGGAAGCTGGTGGAGCTGCGGTGCCTCCCCAGGCCATGTGCAAACCCAGTTATTTCCTCCAAGTAATATATAAATAGATGCCGTCTCGTTATTGATGTACATTGTGCAGACGGTTGAGCTGGGGATGAAGCTTGCTTGCTTTCCTTTTATGGCTGAGAAGCAGGATCCCAGAGCCTTTATCTGAAATCTCTGCACATGTCAATCAAAGCTCACCAGGAAGGAGATTTTGCACTCTTAGGTCCTCGTTAACTGCCAGGCACCACTGCAGCCAAGTGGCCAAGGGAAATGTCCACAGGAATAAAATGCAGCTCCGTACGTGTGTGCATGTGCATATAAGCACATTTACATACAACAAACTGAAACAAAGCTAAAGCAGAACATTAACATTTTCAGCCTAATTTTTTAATTCTTTTTCATATCCCAAGACCAGGTTGTAATTTGGGCACAAATCTCATTTGACTTCATTATAAGCCACTGATTTACACTAATGGCAGAGCTGGAAAAGCAAAGCTCGGAGGATGGCGCCAGGCCCAAGCCTTCTCCCATCCTGTGGCTGCAGCGCATCAATACTGTGAGTTCAATTTGATGGCGAGCTCTAGCAAAGGCAAGTTATCGATATTTCGGAAAGCTGTTCCTCACACTTCTGAGCAGCAAACGGCCCATCACTAAGAAGGCCAAACCCTTGTCAGCATGAGCTGACTTCTATGAAATGAAATACCGACCTTACTGCTAGCTCCAGAGCTAATCGCAGAAAAGAGATTTTATTAGAGAAAGCAGAGCTATTATTCCCAGTCACTCTACAGGGCACATATTTAAGTTTTACATTCAGTGAACGTGAAATACTCCAAATATAGCAGCGTTTGCTAAGAGTCAAAACGTAAAAACTCCTGCTAGGTATTTTGTGCAGGGCTTTGTTTGTCTCTCATTACTCAGATTTTGCATCAACCCATTCGGGCTCCTTCCCATTGCTGGAGTTTTCCTCCCTTTGTAACAAGGAACTGGAGCTGAGCAAACAGCACTGACTCACTGCAGCTCCCACAAATGAAAATTAAACATCACTATTTTCAGCTCTAATGAAGGGTCTGCACAAGCCCTACCTCCCGCACTAGAAAGAATATATTTACATACACACAAAAGACAAGCATCTGAATACAGACAGGAAAGGGAAAGTGGTTTTGTCTGTGGCTTCTGAGAGCAGGACTCACAGGTCCTGTTTCACTGGAGACTCCGTGAATGGCTGAAAACGGCTGCATTTTTGTCACCACATGTATAACAGCATCATAATGTCATAGCACAACAAAGGGCCGTGTGATATACACAGTCAAAAAGAAAAAGAGTACACTGGAACCTCAAAAGTAATCATTTTACCATCCTGTATGTAATTCAGATCCATGGGAAACATGCAGGAAAGCACAACTCTTTCGTAAAAATGGAAAAATCATTGCTTCCTAAACTGAGGGTTGAGAAAGTTTCCTCTGCTCTTCTCTACAGCTCAGGATATTCAGAAAAATAACTATTGGAATAAAGAAATAAATACTCTCTTAGAGAGTAATTGTTGAAAGTTTAGATCCCAGGTGGACTGATATAACAGTGCACCGAGCCTTCCTGCTCTTACTATTTCCCACCTAATTCAAAAAATAAAATAAATCCTATGGAATGCAATTGCAACTGTGGTGCATCTTTGAATTTTCTATCAACTTGTTAGGAGAATGTGAATACTTATAAAGATATAACTATCAGATAATCTGAAAGAAGTTACATGAAATCTACTTTATTTATGTAAACACCTCTGTAAGATGCAGTGAGATTTATTTTTTGGTAACAGGCTGCACAATAAGGTGCTGCATAGTTCTAGTTCAGAATGTCCCTCGATCTCCAATTAGAGAAGATCAGTCCCACAGCATTCACTTTATCATTGATTTTGAGTGATGTAAAAGACAGATCAGCCCTGTGAACATTATTAAACTTAGTGATATTGTCCTGTCTTCGCAAAAGATCAGCTAATATTCCAAACAAGGTTATGAATCAGCAGTTTTTAATATTGAAGATAATTCAGCTGTATTGTTCCAACATTTCATGCCTAACATATAATAAAGTAAAACAAGTGTACATTATATAAAATTCAGATGAACTAATACAGAGCTGTACTGTAATGACAACTAATGAGAAAGCAGATAAAAGGTCAAATCCGACCAGTCTCTGAAATACTCCATGAGACCAACCTGGGAAGTTTACGTTTGCCTTCTGGGCCTACAACTTTCTTCCTAACAGTAGCAAGTTCTGGAGAACGATCAGACCCACAGCAAACCCACAGAACAACAACGCAGAAGCCAAAAAGTCTCCAACCCTAGCTCTCCACCTGCAATGCCTTGACCAAGCTCATTTTCCGACGCCCAACCAAGGGTGTTCCTGGCTGCTAACTGTGCTGTTAGTTTCTATTGTCTCCGGTGCTACAGCAGCTTCAGGTTCCCTGACAGCGGCTGTTCCTGCACAGCTACACTAAACAGTCCCCCTGCACGGCCCCTCGGTTTTAGTGCACACACCAAGCTGCCTGGTGGCTTTCTTGCAGACCAGTAGCAGTCCACCCCCATACAAATCAATGGCAAAATTCCTGCAGATGTCTGGAGAGAGATTCTGGAGAAATATTTCAGTAGCGGCATGCTTATTTCATTTTTCTGTACAAGCAAGATTATGTAACTTTGGCTAGGTATTTGTATATAAGTACATGTGTATATACGGACACACACAGACACATTGCTTATTCTAGCTTAATAGTCAGGGCTCTTATTTTTCCCAACACTAGCCAACCCCTCCAGGTTCTGGGACATTTAATCTAATATTCCTCCGGCTGTTTTAACTAGATTTGGTTTTACCATACTACAACACTTGTATAACTCTGTGGCCATGGTTCCCATTGCTGGAGCACATCTACCCACCCTACACCACACCACCACCCCACACCCATTGCAGTGGGTGGCTCTGCAGCACTCCCAGCCATCACCTCCGGGCCCTTGCCTTCCCTTGGAACATCTCTGCCCTTCCATGTCAGGCTCTTTCCATTACCTCTTGAGCTCTACCTTGGGTTTTAACTTTCAGAGGTCTTATTTTTGGCCAGTCATTTAAATTCCTTTTGAGTCACTGTTATTATTGTGCCAACATTTATAAATAGCTCTGTGAACTGCAGGTACATGATAATCAGGTCCTTTGATTTTTTTGTGCAATTTGGTTATGAAATGATAGCAATAGATAGTGCACAAGCATCAAGGGATGTCTCAGAAATGTTTCCATAATTAAAGGTTTGGGGAGACAGAAACTAATTTGGTAAAAATTATGTTTAAATATTTTATATGATATATGTTACCTTTACACCGAAAAATGGTGAGGTGCCATAAAATGCTCTTCCATTTCCCCTTCCCCCCCCTAAAAAAAAGTTAGTTTTTTAAAAGAAGAGAAGAAAAGAAAAAGCCTTCCGTGTATGTGACTATTTATTAAAAAATGCATAAACCTCCAGTTGTACAGGTTACTTCTAGTGTGATATCAAAAAAAAAAAAGAAGTAAGGAGAGCAAGAAAGGACAGAGAACTTCTTATACCTGCAAAATGTGTGTATATCTGTGTGTATACACAGGAATTATTTTTTATCCATTTCTCCAAGAAAACTCCACTGTCACTAGGAACCATCTAACCTGACACAAAAGGCAAAGACCTGCCGTGGGAGGAAATCTTACACACTCTTTGAAGTCAGGCATGGTCCTGAAACTGGGAAGAGCAGACCCCATCCCAGCGAAAAGCACCTGCAGAAGCACATGCATCGGCATGCAGTAGTGCATATAATTCTTTTAGGGCACTTTGCATGCAGCAGGAGGAATCCCTGCACCAGCCAAAAGGCACGTGGAACCTTTGCAGCCCCTGCTGAGGCAGGTGGGGGGTTTGCCTCTCAGAGTCTGTAAGAGGGGAGCTCTGGGTGCTATGTGCTGCCTACCTTCAGAGGTACATGCATATGTACGTACGGTCCTCCCAGAAAGAGAGATATATAAGGGCTGTAAGGCTTAAGTATTTGTGGGAAGAGCATGTGAAATCAAATGGAAGCCCTCAACACGCAATTTGGGGTCTGGCTACAAGGAGCAGCGCCTCCTGCTACACACAGACCCAGTGAGATCACCTCTCACCCGCACAGACACCTGCACCCAAGGCCCTTTGCCTCTCTCTGCTGGGGGAGTTGGCCATGGGGACCGCCCCAGAGCGGGCAAAGCCATCCAAAGTCAGCATAGCACAGGGGCTGCAGGGCTGCTGCCCCGCTTCCCACTTTGCTGCTGCTCCAGGGCCTGGCACAGCCGAGACTTACAAATGTGAGCAGCCTGAAGGGCCACTACAGCACACAGAGAGACCCAGAGATGTTCAGCTTTGGAGGACCGCGGCCTTTACAAATAGGCTAAGCTCAAGTATTAATTTTGGGGCTGGCACTTTATTTAATTTTCTACCAGGATGCAGATTACAAAAACAATTTTAGAACAGGTATTTAGTATTCTAAATTAATTAAATATGCACTCACCAAAATAGCTGTTAGCACACAGTGCAACCACAAACCTCATTCTAAAATGTCATCTCAGAAAACTCGCGTACTGGTACAATTAAACACCCTTATTTATAGAGCTATTTCTTATTATGTTGCTCTACAGACCTCCAGTATATATTTTGCTGTTAATAAAATATCATTAGACTATTAGAGGCAGGGGGCCTTTAAACTCATTTTTTAGCACACGGGATTCTGGATTTCTAAAATAAAAAAAATAAGGAGTGTAGGGTTGTAAACATCCCTTTCACCAGGAGTCTAACCTTTCCCACAGTGAAATCGACTGGGGCTTTGCTGTGGCATTGAATGGTAGGGATCTGGCCTCAGATATTTTGGATTTAACATGAGCAACCTGTGCTCCGGCTGAGCAGCCACCAGGAGCTCCGAGCATCCATGGGCTCAGGTCCACAGTACAAGCAGCCTCCTTTCAGGGGTATGGCATTCAGAACCCAGTGCTCCTGCCCTTGGTAGCCCTACGTAGCGAACCCAGGATTGCTAACAAAACTGTGGAGAGCAATTGTGAGATCGTGACACTGGGAAACATCACTCTAAGAGCCTGCATGCTGTTGAGCGTTTAAACAGTATTTTACAATTATTATCACGAGCATATCCAGTAGTTCTCCAATCAGACCTTACAGCTATCCTCTTTTAAACCCATAACATGACAATCCACTGAAAGATTTTACAGGAAAGAAATCTACAATAATCAAAATGTTAATTTTGACTATGACAAAGAGTGCATGTATTAAAAATGCATTGGCTCTGTCATTAAGGCATTATTCAGCAAAAACAGCTAATCATGTTAGATGGAAAGCAATGACAGGAAAACTAGGTATAAAGAAACATTTTGTTAAGCTTGTGTTTATGTGGAATAGTCCAATCTGTACTGCAAGATACTCAACTGAGCACAGAGCTAACAAAACCACAGCCTTTATGTGACGAAATCAGAACTCCTGATAATTCTCTCTGTCATGACTCAAGGGAAAATGTCAACCGAAAGCTCAGATCAGAGGAAGGTTTGTAATACAAACCTGGATGTTTAAAATAGTGTTTCCATCGCCGTTCCTGCAGCACTTGTGAATGTGGATGCGTTACGGTGCTGAACTGACTATGATTTAGCAGCTGATCGTGTCTTTAAAGCATAATTTAACGTTATTTCTGAGGCTGTTGAACATACTAAACTACAAGAAAAAATCTGCTTTCAAGTAGTATTAGAGAAACACGAGGATCAGAGTGCTAGCATCAAAGATGTGTCTATAGAATAACAGATCCATGTCTGCGTAACAACGAGAGCTCCAGTCGCTACTGAAGGCAGCAGAGTAAGAATCCTTTGGCAGTTGCTTGAAATAATTAAGCAGAATATATATGGCCTTTCAATTGCTAAGCAAGAGACAGAGGAAGACATTCTCCATGTTGCCGCCTTACACTCACAACAGAGCAATCCCCCTACATCTAGTTTGCCCACATTAAAAATCATTCTCAACCTCTTCACGCTGAGCCTAGGGAAGAAGCCATTCAAAAAGGCTAGCTCATCACAGTGACCTCAGTCCTGCCTTAAAATGGCTTCTGATCTAATTCATTTAAGCCTGGAATCTGGTCTCCCACTTGCCATTATGTGGCAATGAGACCTGGGATCACAAGGTGTGCAGAGAGGTCTCTGAAAAGGGAAAAGCAGGAGCCATCACTCCTACTCCATATTTAGCAGACTTGAGGGTACAGGAGTGGGAAAAAATGCTATGCTTGTGTTTTTCTAAGCACAGCATCCAAAAGGCTGTCTGGGCTTTTAACCAGAGCCCATGCCCTGCTGCTCTGGTTGGCAAGAGGGATGGAAATATCCATCCTACATTAAATAAATGAGGCATGGTTGGGATGGTAATGGTAATGAACAGCCTCTTGCTTATGTCTCTCACCTGCATCTACCTCTGGGGAGCCCTGAGCCCTTCAGTGGGGACAAGGAAGCCATGGCCTGAACACCAGTGGGGAACCAACGCTTCAGTCCTGGTTGTGGGCATGCATTCTAGCCCAGCACCTCAGGGACTCAAGAGTGAGCAGCCAAATTCTGCCCTACAAGGCCATTACCATGGGGCAAGGGTTCTCTTACCCCCTGGAAGTGATCAGCCACAACTGGTTGTCCCAAAGCATCCTTGCCAGGCAGTTGGTGCCCTCTGCAGCCGAGGCACAGGGGCAGGGTGCGGGGTGCGCCCGCCTCACCAGCCTGCTGCTTGCCGGCTCCCAGCCTTTCTGGCCGCAGTGGTCACGGGGCCGTACTCTGAGCTCGACAGAGGAGAGGAGCATTCCAGTCCCGGGTACCGCCGGCTGCGGGCGAAGCCGCTGCCCCTCGGGCAACCCGCATCTCGGGGGTGGGACCCTGCTGCAGGTGGGCCGGCGGGCTCGAGTCCCCCATTTCCTCCCTGCTCCCCCCCGGCGGAGAGGGGCAAACGGCAGCGGGCTGGAGGCCGAGCGAGCCCGGGCAGGGGAGAACCGGTCTCAGCTCCGCAGGCCCCTCCCGTAGCCCCGGCCCCGCACTTTGCCCTAACCCCGTGCCCGCTCCACGCACACACGCATCCAGAGGGCAGCCCCTCCGCGGGGACGGGCCGGCCGAGCCACCCCCGCCCGGGTAGAGACACAGACAGAGCGACACACTGCGAAGCGAAGGAAAAGATGGAAAAGGTGCTACCTTGGCAACTAGAGGCTGTAGGAGCCAGCTGGAGGGCTGGGGGCGGTCGCGCTGCCTGCCTGCCTGCCCGCCGCCGGTACTCTCCTCGACTACGCGTATTCTTAAGCAATAACAACGTAATCCGTATTATCCACCCAAGAATACCCGTCACCGAAGAGAGTCAGAAAGCTGCTGCTGCTGCCGCTGGTGGAAGTGCTGCACCGGGACAATAAATCCATAACTATAATTCCCCTCTTGAAGAAGGAGAATCCACAAGGGCTGCGAGATCTCGTTCCATATCCAACGAGCACCGTTCCTCCCCGTCCTGCAGAGGCAAAGGAGAGGACGGGTGGTGAGCACACGCGTAGCTCCCTCTGCTCCCCGCCTCGCTGGGGGCGAGGGCTCTCAGGCAGGGCGGGGGGACATAAATCAAAGTAAGGCTGAGTTTACCTGGTAATTGCCTGGCGTCTCCCCCTGAGCTTCTCCAGCATCCTATTCCCTAGCTGTATGCTCCATCAGTTCTCTCTGGGAGCTCGCAAGAGATGTCACACACGGCAACAGATTCCTGTAGAAGAGACGCACTGTTAAGCACACAAATATTACAAATCTGTTTGCAGAGGTGGGCTTGGAAGAGCTCCGATAAAGCAGCAGCCACGCCTGAGAGACTTTTCATCTGGGCTTTGGAAACGTATTTTACGTCTTGGCTCTCGGTGGGCTGCCGCGAGCAGGCAGCGCGGAAAGCAAAGCGGTGAAGAGAGAAAAATCAAAGAAAAAGCGGAGGCTCCGAGCCCATCAGAGACGCTGCTCCCCGGGCCTCCCATCGCCGCCAGCACCGCTCCGAGAGCACTCCGGGCCAGGCCCCGGCCCCCCTGTGCCCGCGCAACCCCGAGCGGGGCCGCCCCCGCGCCCACCTGCAAAGGACGAACCGGGAGAAAAGCCCGAACGGGGGAAGTTCTGTCCGAACCGCGCCCGCGGCTCTGCCGCCCCCCGCAGCCGCTCCCGTAGCAGCAGCGCTCGTACTTGGGGGAGGCGGGAGGGGGAAGCTTTGTCTGGTGATCTGCAGCGGCGATAATAAACGTTTATTGTTCTCCAACTAAATAGAAAGGATCTCTGCAACGTCACGGCACGGCGCGCTTCGCCTGGCGGTGAGGAACTTCTCCGTGTGATCTCAGCCCAGCTCCCTGCGCTAGGGACGGCTTCGGCGTGAGTGATGGGAGGGGGACGGGAGCTGGTGTTGCGCGCTCAGAGCCGCGCAAACAGGGGGACCCGCGCCCCCCAGGCACCGCGCGGCGCGCACAGCTCTCATCGCACAGCTGCCGGAGACCTCTCGGCTGTTCTTTGGGTTCTGAATGGAACTGCCACGCGGTTCTGCCTTGTACTACGTGTTCCTTCCTCAACACGAGCTCTTAGCTTCATTGCCATAGTACCGCTATAGCCCCTATAGCACCGAAAAGCTACGAGAGGACAGCATTTGTTTGTGTAAATTTGAAAGAAAGGAGAAAAACAAAGAGAAACAAGAATACCTTGATAGCCAAAATGCCTTATGTAAATAATAAGAAAAAATCCAGCTCCCTCTCCTCTATTTTAATCTCATTTTAGGCGCACTTTCCTATATTTCTCTAACACAGCAGGCTTTGAAGTTACGTTTGAAATGGCACCTAGAAAGTAAATAACAAACACTGCAATTTTCCCCGCTGTGCAACTGAAGGCTGTGGCCCCATTCCTAGCGGTAGAACTAAAAGAACCAATTCGGCGGGTTTTCTTTAACTTGAACAAAAGCCGTTTGAAAAAGTAAAATACACCGAGTAGTGGCAAAAGCGCTCTACAGTGATCCACCTAGGCTTGTACTCTCCAAAATCCAGAGGCGCTCCACATACGCATCAAGAATTAGGCAGAAATCCAAACTTTACGGTTGTGGGGTTTTTTTTTGTTTGTTTTTTGTTTTGGTTTGTTTTTTTTTTTTTTTTTTTTTTTTTTTTTTTTTTAAAGAAAGAAAAATAAAGAACGCAGTCCTCGCGAAAAAGAAGCCCCGCGCGGCTCCTGGCTTTTCCTACCTCCGTCCATCCTACGCCGCCCTTCCCTCTCCTGTAAACATCCCCCCGCGAACGCGGCACCGAAACTTCCTCGCTACCCTGCCCAGCTCCGCACCCACCGCTCGCGGGCCTTCAGCACCCGCCACCCGGACAGCTCCTCGCCCCGCCGGTCTCCGCCGCCGCCCAGCGCTCCCCGGCGCACGGACAGGCGGACAGGCGGACAGGCGGACACGCCCGCTCCGGGCACGCTCAGCACGCGGAGGGGCGCCCCGGCGCGCTGCCCACCTCGCCCCGCCGCATGCGGGCAGTGCCCGTGGCGGCGCGCCGCGCGTTAAATACCTTTGTTCGGCGGCTCCCGATAGCCATGTTTATCGGCGCGGCCGCCCCGCTCCCCGCCGCCAGAGCCCGGAGCCCGAGAGAAGGGCCCCGGGGCACCGCCACCGCCCCTACCGTGCCCGGGAAGCGGGGTACCGGAGGGAGGAGAGCGGATGGGGGGAATTAAACAATTAAGCTGCTAGGAGTGGAGCTCGGGTTGGTCACGCAAAGCGAATTTCAGAGGGGGGAATATCGATCCCATCCGTCAACAGAGAGCCGCGATGTCTCCCCATGCAAGAAATGGTCCTGATTTCTTTTTTTTTTTTCGGGAGGGGGGTGGGGGAGGTAGCGATGGTAAGGGGTGGGGTAGGGGGGATCGTGAAAAAAAAAAAAAAAAAAGAAAGAAAAAATGAAAGAATAAAGGAAGGAACAAAACATTAATCCTGTCTTAAAGGCAGCTCTTTTCAAAATCGCCGGGAGCTTGCTCTATTCGCCACCTACCCGAGTAACCACCAGAAATCCACCTCTAGTGAAGCGCTTACCCTTTAAATCCAGGTTTCGAGCAGAACTCCAACCGTGTGTAAAACCAGGGAGTCATCTGACGTGCGCTGGGGACGGGCTCCGGGCGGCAGAAGCTGCTCCCTCCCGGCGCCGGATTAGCACGGATCCACCCGGGCAGGACCCGGCGCCTCCACGGCCGCGGCTCGCTGCTTTCGCACCTCGGCGGCTGCTCTCGCTTCCCGTGTCCCCGGCGGTCGCCTCTCAGCTGAATGTGGGCTTCCAGAAAAGGAGTCGGGGGGGAGAGGAGGGAAAAAAATCGCCTAATGCAATCAAATCGATCTGATCTACACCATCTGTCGCCTGCCACTACACACAAGCGTTAAAATAGGAAAACGGGAGACACTGACAGCTCAGGAAGGTTGTTCTGCAGAGTTCATTTTTAGCAGAGCATAATTGGGTATGGACAGCATACAGTTACCAAAGCTGCTGTTAACCATCCAGTAGAGGATCCCAAACATGCTAATGGTGGATTAATTGAGGAAGATCTGACGTGCAAGCTTCATAGTCTCTTATTCATGACTTCCCAAAGGGAAAGGACCAATGCCGTGTGGGACTATGGTAACGCAGAGTCAAAGAGCTGCTAAGAAAATGGCTCTGTGTTCATAGCACTTCTCTCTGATAACAAACATATGTCGACCAGAACCGTTTAGCAGGATGGGGGAAATGAAATTTCCTTAGCCGAGGTTAGCAATTCCCATCGCATGCACTTAAAGACAAGTAAAAAATGGACTGCGGGTCTGAGACACTTTCAAGTGCTGGTCCCGGGGTTCACAGCCAGTGAAAGCAGACGGCTCCTGCCCAGATGGGGGCTTAAACCCCAAATCCCTGCCTCCTCACTGTGACCAAAGTGCATCCATAGCAGTCCCTAAACATGCGGCGCTGCTAATTTCATCAGGAATGACGCAAGGTCTTTTTAATGCCAGGAACCCTTTTGACTTTTTCCAGCGGGAATTGCTTTTGGGCAAGACATTTCCGATCACTGAAATTTGACATAATCTCAGATAAATATGATTGGGGGGGGAAGGGGGGGGGGGGGAGGGGGGGGAAGAGAGAAGGGGGCGGCGAGTTGAGAAGAGACGGAGTGTGCATCCAGACCTGCAATCACCCCTGCTGTCAACACTCCGATTTGCTCGCGTTTTCTAGTCTTTCCTGAATAATGAGGTTATAGAGATGTATATGTAATTATTAAAGCAGTATATGCACACGAGCCGCAGACGTCTACGGCTGTCGTGTCTGCACAGGCAGACGGGGAGACAGAGTACGCCCGTCGGGGTGCGCCTTTCCGCTCCCCGACTGCTCCCCTACCGAGGGGGGACGCGCTGCCGGGGGACGCCCCCAGCCTCGGCCCCCGCCCCCAGCCCCGCGCCGGGCGCTGTCCACCCGCCCGGTGCTGAACGGCGGCGGCCCGGCCCCGCGGCGCAGACAATGGACACGCACGAGGCGCCGGGCTGCTGCGTCCCGCTCGGCCGCGTCCTGCCGAGCGCCGCAAGTCGGGGACGCTCCCGTCCGCTGCCACCTCGCCCAGCTGATTAGTGGAGAGCGATAACGGCGCCGATACAAATCCAAACGGCTGATGTAAATGTGGCAGCGAACAATTAGTGTTTAGGGTTATTCTGGAGCTAACCGCGTGCCTCTCCTGGAAGTTTGTGTTAATCTCTTCAGAATAAATCTAACGGTTATGAATTAGATTAGCCTTGAAAACGTAGCCTAAAGACAAATCAAACAATTTACCCGTTCTTTTGTTTCAATATACATTAATTAAGCGCCGATGCCTACCTACACAGCGTTCTTGGGTCCCGGCCACGGGGCCGAGCCTGGAGCTTCGCTGCCTTTTGTCAGCATTCGCGTCCAACTATTGCCCTCTGCAGGTCAAGTCCTCGCCGAGCTGCGTGAGGCAGGAAGGGGCTGCCGGGCCCAGCGCCCCAGGCCCCCTGCCCGGAACAGGTCCGACTTCTCTTGGGATCGATTCCTCCCCGCGAGGTTTGGATGTGTTTCTCCAACAGGGGCACGGGGTGATACAGAGTGGTGCTGTTTGGCTGCCCTGCAGCCCCTGTTCCAACCCCGGCTGGAAGAGATGACAACAGAAGAGGCAAGGTGCCACTCTGAAGACACCTTGTTTTCTTGCTCTCCTTCTCTCCTTTTGATTTAGGGAAGCTTCCCAGTCAAGGCCTGCCCTTTCCCCTCTTTTCCCAGTTCACCTTTAGGAACAAGGCAAGATCTGAGCACCAACCAGGGCCAAGCTGGTACGAGCACCCAGGACCCTGCCCTACCACCTCCATGCAGGCAAGTTTCCTACCAAATGCAGCTCAAGAGCCACAGCTTGAAGGGGCACTCCATAGCAGACCCCCACCTGCCCAAAGAGGACAGTGACAACTTTCAGCAATGCTGCTACCCAGAACAGTTCGCCATCTCTTACACGGTAATGCACAAAATGCTCTAGTGTAGCAAAAACAAAAACAAAAACACGAACACAACGTTAAAACAATGTAATTATTGTTGCTTAGAATTCAGGAGCTTCAAACCCAGGGAAAAAAAAACAAAAACACAACAACAATAAAAACCAACCAAACAAAAAAAAAACAGTTCCCTCTTCTTCCTCCAGTAAGTGAACAGAGATGTTTAACGACTCCCTTTCTTCCCCCCACTCCGCTTGCTACCCGGGGTAACACCGCTCACACGGGCTTTGCAGCCCCTACAGCCGGCACAGCGGCCGCTCCGCCCGCGCCCTTCCGCCCTGGGCACCCAGGGCCGCCGCTGTGGCTCTGAACCCAACTCTGACCCGGCTGCCTCTCGGGTCGCCGAGGCAGACCCCGGCCCTGCCGCATCCTGCCCGGGGACAGGGCGGCCCCGCGCTGCCGCGGAGCCTGACAGCCAGCGGCCTTTTGTCTCTCCGCCGCCTCGCCCTGCCCTCATCGCCCCGGGGTCACGGAGGCCTCACACCTTCCGGCCCGGCCAGAGGCCGCGGCGGTGTGCAAGCGCTCAGTGTGCTATCGGCCCGACCTAGCGGATCTGCGGTAGAACGCTCGCCTCGGGGCGGGGGGCGTCGGGCGGCGCCGGGCAAGCTCTCGGAGCAGGGCCGAGCCGGGTCCCCGCGGCCGCAGCTCATCCGCACGGCGCGGAGCGGAGCGGCGGAGCCCCCTGCTGGCCGTGCGCCGCCACACCGGGTCGGGACGGGTCCTGCTGAACGGGGCCGCCGCGCTTCTCAGTCCCCGCCCGTCCCGGCGGTGGGAGGCAGGCTGATCTCCAGCAGCGGGAAAGGGAAGCGCGCAGGTGCTTGGCTGCGCCGCGAGCACTCAGCTCCAGGTACAGCGGTGCCTCGAGCTGCTTTGTCTTTAGCCCAACAGTGTCATGTGGGAGCAGGTAAGGGTTACCTGGAGATGCTGTGGGTCTCACGTGCTAGGGTAGAGGGAGAATCGGGGAGCTGAAGGGGTTCTCTCAGCGGAGGAACCTAAAAAACAGAACATATGTGGCATAATTTGATACACATCGTGTCTGGCTACTTCTCTTTCCCAGAACATCACCGAGGTGTCCCATCATGGTGAAGTTCTGGATGTTACTTAGAAACCTTGGCCCAAGATGGTAACCCTGGTTTCCCAAGCATGATGCCCACTTCACAGAATGATCAGGATCCCTTTAAAAAGCACTTGCTGTCCTGGTCCCACTATTCCCCTTGGAAGGCTGTTTCAGAATCTCATAACTCAGCTTCTTAAGATTTCCAGCCTACATTTATTAAGGGACCCGTTTATATCCATTTGTTCAGATGCCAATTTTGTCCTTGAACTTAATTAGTTCTGATATTTACTCCCCTCACAGTGTACTAATATTCCTTCTCATCATTTCCTTTGTTCAAATCAAGCTTTTTAGTCTTGTCACATAAGATAGAATCTTCATTTCCCTGATTATCCCAATATCCTAGCAACTTAGGAAAACTGGGTCGTGCCCAACACCCAGAAAATATGGGTTTCAAAGGGGTTCATTATATTCCATCTTTTTGCAGCTTGACCAAGACACAAGCAGGGGGAAGGATTAGCATAAGGTCAGATAAACCACAATTCTCCTGACTTCAAGCTCTCCCGCAATCTGTCAGGGACATGAGTTCTGAAAGGCCTGTGGTTTGTAACTTGGCTTTACATCAATGCGCATTTATACATCTATAGATCATCTTCTGGAGAGGAAGGATGGCCTTGGAGTGACGAGGGACACCAGAAATCTGGAGGTTTGGGTTTAAACGTAGGTCTGCCTGGGTTTGGGCAACAGAAGTAACTTTGGCAAGCCCCTAAATCTTCTGCTGCATTTCCATAAGTTTAGAAGAGGGACAGTAACACTCCTGTCCTCTCCTCTTCTGCCCAGCACACCTGCCTGCCCTGAGTGCTGGCAGACCGGGTGCCTCCTTCTCCCTGTGCCTGCCACCCTGAAGTGCAAATTCATCCAAGCTCTTACGCTGATGGTTAAAAATAGCCATCGGTCTTATAGATTTTTTTAATTAAGCTGCAGCCAGTGGCCAGCGGTAAAGTCAGACGCATTAACTGCAAAGCTGTACCCTGACTCCTGATTCTCAAGTCTTTGCCTGGCTGACGACAAAGTCAAAGCTGTATTATTATTACACGTTATTTAAACATTTGCACAATTCGACACATTTTCTTTGCCAGTTTTCGTTTCAGATGGCAATTTTTGATCAGCTAATACAGCACAGAAACTGGGCCAGAAATGGAGAGACCCTCAGCTCAGATGGTCAAGGCAATAACAAACACTGCCATCGTCCTTCCACCACCGCCAGGGCCTGGAAGGCTGGGACTGAGCACAGAGACAGAGAGCACTCGGCTGAGCTGAGGTGAAGCAACGATATTTATGGGAGTAATTATCACAGAGAAAAACTGGAAAAATATGATTACAGCAAATTGTAACTCTCTCCAATATGTTCTTCGTTGTTAGAAATAGCTCAGCTGAGACCAAACCAATATAAACAACAGCCCAGGAGCACCAGACACAGGTACTCTGGAGGCTGATACAACCAGAGCCTTAGAGCAGGGCAGGATCCAGCTTCAGAGTGCTGGGGAGTAGGGTGTCACAGCCTGTGCTTATTCCCAACCCTTCTTGTTGGTTGAAGCCAAGCCAACAAGGGAAGTGTGATTCGCCTGCTGCTGGATACTCTGACCAGGGCTGCTTGTGGCTTTTTTTCAGCACACTTCCATGACAGAACAGTTTACATGCTTTCATCTTGCAATTGGTGTCTATCAGTTTTTGGAGGCAATAACCAAGCTCACGTAAAAGCCAAAGCCTCATTTAACAAAGAGCAAAATATTCTCGTTGAAATGTACCTACCCTATGGATCACACGCATCAAAGTTCTTCAGTCATCTCGAGAGCTCTGTAGGTGTTGTTGCTGCTCTCAAACAGTCTGTGAGAAGAATTATAAATGGTATTTACCTTTTAATTAAACAAAACATCTTGCAAATTAAACACGTGCTCCTGCACATCAAAATTTAGTTAGCATCCATTTTTATTGTGCATCCTATGGCTCTCTGACAGCCTATTGAGTCCACAGACAAATGTGAACACACGTTGCTAGTTCCTTTTTAACTTACATTTTGGGCATCATGTGCAAGATTTTATCACATATGAGGTGAAAAATCCTTCTGTAATTGACTGAAAATAGTTAAGCAGACTCCTGCTTAATATTCTTGTTGCTTAAAAATAAATAAATATATATATACTGGTGTGTCCTGGCAGTGGCAGAAAATCAGTTTTGGACACTTGCATGACATACATCTTATTATCTTATGTAGAAAATTTGACAGTGAATGACAGAACACCTTAGAGGGATTTAAGAAGATGATAAAGGCAACAGCTTTCACATGAATACAGAATCTAGTTCCTAACAGTTACAA